TTTCCAGTTGCACTATACCTTTGGCCATATTTAGGAAATTAAATAGCTGGATACTATTATTTGGTAACTCTATTTTTACTTTTTCCAGTGAAATACCTTTTCAATGCATGGGTATTGATCCATTATTGTTAGATGACCTTCCTTTTTCACCACCTCAAGGGACCTCCCTGTTATACCTATCTACTACCTTCTGGTTATCTAATTTGTGTCTAAGTCTTTCTCAGCTTCTCACATTGGAAAGTGATATGATGGATCTAGCATATAATGACTGAACATGGCCCCAAAGATCACCTTTTCTAAAATGTTTGTGTTTTATTAGAGGATTGAGAAATACAAAGAATGAGGAGACTCATGGCATTGAAGAGGGCTATTATGAAAGATACTTTGGGGTGCTAAGCATCAAGAAATATTCCCTTCCAGTGCCTGTAGGTTACATTATTTCAAAAACTACCATCTTTGCTATTTCTATTTATGTGTATCTACGTTTTCCAAAGAGCTCAATGTCAACTTTCATGGACTTTGATGGGAATAAAAACTCAAAAAGTAAATATTTTTCTAAAAGGAAAATTTCTCTCCTCTGATCTTTTTCTTCATTTTTTTTCAAACACAAAAAACCCATATCTACGAAGCAACCAATTACTACAAAGATATCTGAAATAACTTTTGTCCTAACATTACAATATAGTAAAAACAATAGACCAAATATAGAATAATATCTGGGCTGGCTTTCATCATAACACTAATATGAGGCTTATTTCAAGGAGAATGAAGTAAAGGGAGTTGCAATTTAGTATGTGAAAGGCTAGGTAAAATTACATGGGCTTAGTCATATTTTCACATCTAAATCTAATGCGAAATTAAGTAACTCAAGCTGTGCACTATCATCTCCAGGAGTTCATCATATGAAGGAATGAAGATGTTCAAAAGATAACCTTCAAGCTCATGCCAGAAGATGTTTCCAGCTGTATAAATGCCTAACTCAGCTTCTAGTCCTTAGAAATTAATCAGCTCATTGAAAATTCAAGAGTTCCAGCCAGAAGCTACAGCTGGTGTCAGATGTTGAAATCAGTCTCTCCTGCTGATCAAACTGTGACGTAGCCGAAGCAATAGGCCTGGCTTTTCAGTTAATTCTCAGTGAGCCCTTCCTTTCCCTCTGCAGTGGTGTGGCATTTAAAATATAACTCCTTTATGTACACTGTAAACCTTTCATTCTCAGGGCAGATGGAAGTATGAAATCTATCTAATTCAGTCTATAAAATGATATTTAGAGCATTAGGTAATGAATGTCCTAGTAAAGTTGGCAGAGGACAGGTAGATGAATTGACCGGTAAGGAATGACAGGCAGATAGTAGATGATAAGAGTTGCAGAACAGTTTGGGGAGAAGGACTTTATTTTCAAATGCCTTTAGTAAGACTAATACTACTAATATAGCAATAAAGTACTTTTTACCCATAATAAATGGATAAAAGTAATTTCAAGTTAGCAGATTTCTCATTTAGATGCAGTGTTTTGTATACAGTGCCTCAATCCTGATCCCTATAGGAAACTACCTTAACCATTGTGTATCTTTTCAGCTTTTAATGAATATACAATCACACCTTTTATATATTTTTACATAAAGAAGTCATGTAACTTACACCATGAACCTCTTTCCATGTCAGATCATATGGAACTTTTTCATTCTTTTTAACGATTGCAGAATATTGTGGGAAGTAATTTAATTTACTCAGCTAGTCTTCCAATGATAGATATTTGGGTTGTTTGCAATTTCCATTCTTTCACAAAGCCTGCTGCAACAAATAACATTATTCATATGGTATTTTGTGCAACTGTGAATATATGTGTAGGATAAATTTCTAGAACGTAGACTTGCTAGATTAAAAATTATGTACATTTTAAATTTTGATAGATATTGCCAAATTTCCATGCAAAGGATAAATTCCCTCATATAGAATTGCTTGGTTGCATGGTATATGCCTTTTACCTTTTAGAAATATTGTATCAATTTATATTTCTAGGCAATATGGCAAACAAGATAAACCTTAAAGTCCTCCTAAAAGACACCTAAAGTATTAAACAATATGTAACAAATATCTCATGTATAGAACTAGGCTTGCAAAAAAGTAAGGCAAATATCCAGGGATCAAAAAATGAAGCTGAAAACCAAGGGAGGAATTGAAGCCACTGATGCCCTGGGACGTTTATAGTTGCAGGTAACCAAGATGCTTGGTGTTTAACAGCCACGTGAAGATAAGACCTTGGACCCAGCAAGGTAGAGAGGAACCAAGAATCTGGAACCCTCAAGCACTACATCTGCCATGAAAAGATGGATAGAAAAAAAAAAAACAGCAAAGGGAGATAATAAGACAAATTACCTGTCTTGGCCTGGGCATACAGAGTGAAAACAAAAAGTATGTACTGAGAATTTATAACCACAAGGCTGCCTCAAGTGGGATAGCACTTTTAATACATACTGCCTTGGGGCACCTTGGTAGCCTAACAGAGGCAAATGCAAATCTTCTCCAGAAACTTATGTCTTCAACCTAGACTGCCTAAGATTCTGCTATGGTTTGAATATTTTTCCCCTCCAAAACTCCTGTTGAAATGTAACCCCAGTGTGGCCATTTTGAGAGGCAAGGCCTTTAAGAGGTGATTGGGTCATAAGGGATCTGCCCTCATGAATGTACGAATCCATTCATGGATTAATGGATTCATGGGTTATCACAGGAGAGCGACTGGTGGCTTTATGAGAAGAAAAGAGACCTGAACTAGCATGCTCAGTCTCCTTGCCATGTGATGCTCCGCACCACCTTTGGACTCTTCAGAGTCCCCACCAGCAAGAAGGCAGTCAGCAGATGTAGCTGCCTGACCTAGAACTTCTCAGCCTCCATTACTGTAAGAAATAAATCCTACTCTTTATAAATTACCCAGGTTTCAATATTCTGTGATAAGCAACAGAAAGCGGACTAAGACAATTCCCATGGATAAAAGGTTTGATTGAATATAAATTCATAATCCAAAATTACATACCAAAAGAAACAGATTTCCATGCATGAATGCAAGCAGTAAAAACAGCAATATTTGACTTCCAGGAACTTCAGATCATTGAGCAATCAGACAGAGAATATAAAATGAGTTTTATAATTTTAAAAGGTTTAAGGAAACAATATCAGGAATAAAATGTAACTAAGAACACACACATAAACAAGACTTGACAGATTTTATAAAATAAAGTAGAACTTCTAAAAATAAAAAAAATAAGAATCAAATTTTAGAATACAGTGGAATATTTAAATAAGCAAATTAGATTCAGTTGTAAAAAGAATTAGCAAACTGGAATGATCTGAGGGAAGTACCTAAAGTGTAGCACAGAGTTACAAAAATGGAAAAATATAAAAAACATTGAATATGTGAGCATTTGAAGGACACATATATGTTGTACTGGCATTCTAGATGGATGAAAGAGAATGAAGGGATATGAGAAATATTTAAAGAGATAATTGGTGAGAATTTTCCAGGATAGGTAGAAGACATGAATCCTTAGATTCAGGAAGCACAATAAATCTCAAATTCTCCCATTGCATTTTAGCATACATCACACATTTTAATGAAATATAACTATATTTCCCAAAACAAACTATTAATGAGAAGAGTGGCATTGTTTTACATTTTTACAAATCTCTTTTTTTTTTTGAGATGGAGTTTTGCTCTTGTTACCCAGGCTGGAGTGCAATGGTGTAATCTCGGCTCACCGCAACCTCCGCCTCCTGGGTTCAGGCAATTCTCCTGCCTCAGCCTCCTGAGTAGCTGGGATTACAGGCACGCGCCACCATGCCCAGCTAATTTTTTGTATTTTTAGTAGAGACGGGGTTTCACCATGTTGACCAGGATGGTCTCCATCTCTTGACCTTGTGATCCAACCGCCTCGGCCTCCTAAAGTGCTGGGATTGCAGGCTTGAGCCACTGTGCCCGGCCTACAAATCTCTTTAATGTCTAGTTTAGTAGAGTACTTCTGGATTCTCATATATGTTTCTGCACTCAACCTGTTCTAATATTATAGGTCATATAGCCTTTGGAAAACTCAAATCTGTAAGAGAATGAGAATGAAAAAGACAAATTATGTCTTCGCATTACTATAAATATAGTTTTGGCCTTGTGTAACTCCTGAAAAATTCTCCAGTTTCCTCAAGGGTCTTTAGAACATACTAGGAGGACCACTGATTTATGTATTTATTTAAAAAAATTTTTTTTTAAAGACTAGGTCTTGCTTTGGTGCCCAGGCTGGAGTGCAGTGGTGCAATCGTAGCTCACTGCAGCCTTGAACTCCTGGGCTGAAGCACTTCTCCTAGGTCAGCTTTTCAAGTAGCTGGGAAGATAGGTGCACACCACCGTGCCCAGCTAATTTAAAAAATTTTTTAGATGTAGGGTCTCAGGCTGTTGCCCAAATTGGTCTTGAACTCCTGGCCTCAAGTGATCCTCCTTCCTCAGCCTACTGAGTATTTGGGATTACAGGTGTGAGCCACTTTGGTCAGCTAGGACCAGTGATTTAGTGTAAGATTTTTATTATGGATTATGGGTAGTGGACTGGGTGTGTTACAAACAAATATTCTACATACACACACACACAACACACACACACATACAACCATATATGCTCTACATGAATCCCTATTTTTCAGGGAATTAGAATACATGTAATAAGTTACACTTGGATTTGAAACAAGACTCAAGGGATTTCATTTCTGTTCCACGATTTAGAGGGTACTTCAGGGTCCCACAATACCATCTTTGTGAACATCAAGAATATTATATTGGTACATATAGAAAGAAGTCTTGAGTAATACCAGATATGTTTGGTTAATAAGATGGTAGGTAAATTACTTGTTACCATAATTGGATTGAGACATATTTTCAAAGATGAATATGATTCTCCACCACATAATTGCAAAACTGCCCTAGAAATGGAAAACAAAAATTATCTACCAGGAGACCAACATACCGAGTTTTATTTTCTCGCTTGCGTTTCAAACCCAAATGTTTCAGAATCGTGAGGAAACTGATGCAACAGTTGTAGGAACATCGACTCTGGAGACCAACTGGAGAGAGTAAGAAGATTTTTTTTTAATTCCCTGGGAAGTCTCATTTACAAAGCTTGAGTTAAATTTTGCTATCAAATTTTCTTTAACTAAAATTCTCTTTTCTGCCTCTAATGTTTCTCATTTTTGATTTTGTATCATTAAAGAGATGGCCCTCTTCTGAATCTGTTAAGGGATCATATTCTTATACTCTATTGATTTCACTCACGTTTAACAAATATGACCCACATATTTTTCCTATTTATCTTATTAAATAAAACCTAAGATGCAAGACATTATTTCAGCAGTGCCCAGGAGAAGAACAGTTGTAATAACCCATCTCAGACATCTCAATTTCAATTAAAAAGACTCACAAGCACTATTTACAATAGCAAAGAATTGGAACCAACCCCAATGCCCATCTGTGATAGACTGTATAAAGAAAATGTGGCACATATGCACCATGGAATACTATGCAGCCATAAAAAGAATGCGTTCATGTCCTTTTCAGGGACATGGATAAAGCTGGAAACCATCATCCTCAGCAAACTAACCCAGGAACAGAAAACCAAACAACACATGTTCTCACTCATAAGTGGGAGTTGAACAATGAGAACTCATGGACACAGGGAGGGGAACATCACACACGGGGGCCTGTCAGGCATTGGGGGAGAGGGGAGGGAGAGCATTAGGACAAATACCTAATGCAGCAGGGCTTAAACTCTAGAAGATGGGTTGATAGGTGCAGCAAACCACCATAGCACATGTACACCTAGGTAACAAACCTGCACGTTCAGCACGTGTATCCCAGAACTTCAATTAAATTTTTAAAAAAAGACTTATATTATCTCTAAATATTTATTTGAATCCACAAGCCTTTATCCCTATTTATTTCTGCTGAAACATAGATAATAGAAGATTAACTGGCTAGTTTTTAACATGGGACACTGAGACATGCAAAATGACACTAGCCAACGGGATATGAGATAAAAGAATGATTCAGTCCAGTAGAATTGCATTTATTACTCAAACATATATTGAGTATCTCCTGGGTACTAGGCACTTTGCTAATCCCTGGGTTTCAAAGATAAATAAGAAAGAGTTTGTGCCTTCATAGCCCAGTGGAGTAAGTAAACCTGTAAACAAAAATTGATGCAGAGTGTGATAAGGCTTATGATAAAGATATGTATGAGGTATATTTATGGCACTAAGGGTACAATACATTTTGCTTGTGGAATCAGAAAGCCTTCACCTTTGAGCTGCTCTTGAGGAGTAAGTTGGAGTTTTCTGGGCTGCTAAGGAGGGTTAGAGAATTCTAGGCAGAAAAGAACTACATATGCAAAGCCCTGCATGTCCAGATATGTCAGTAATTCAGCCTGTCAATGCTGGAGTGAAGGGTGAAGACGGAGATCAATCAGAAATGATGTTGGAGGGTAGTTAGAAATTAGTTTGTCAAGGGTCTGTATCTCATGCTAGGAAGCTTAAACTTTATCACGTAGGTCTCTGGTTTTCCAGATATGCCAGAGATTAGTAGGGGTTTCACAGAGGTACCTGGGGTGCTGGTGGATACGTTCAGGGCAGGCAGGCAGGATTCTGCTCCTACCCTTGTTTTAATAGAAACCTCTCAGCTTTACTGTGTGCATGCTTTAAGTTGGACTTCATTGTAAGATTTCATTTTACTCAACAGTGGTCTATTGAGCACATACTAGGTGCCAGGCATTGTGTTGGCATAGCCCACACAGAGCTTACCTCCCAGTGCAGAAAATATTCCTTTTTTTTTTTTCTTTTTCGAGACGGGCTTGCTCTGTCACCCAGACTGGAGTGCAGTGGCACAATCACAGCTCACGGCAGCCTCAACCTCCTAGACTCAAGCAATCCTCCTGCCTTAGCCTCTGAAGTAGCTGAGACTACAGACATAGACCACCATGCTGGGCTAATTTTTTAATTTTTTTGTAGAAATGAAGTCTCACTATGTTACCCAGGTTGGTCTCCAAATCCTGAGCTCAAGAAATCCTCCTCCCTTGGCCTCCCAAAGTGCTGTGATTAAAGGTGTGAGCCACAGTGCCAGGCCTAAAGATTGCTTTTTTAAAAACTTATAAATCCACAATAATAAATTAGGGAGAACCACAATAAGGTGGGAAGCAGGAGAGTGATATGACAAATTTGCTTCTTAATCTCTCTCTGTTTGCAGTTTGGACAGTAGGCTCAAGAGCAGAGAGGCTGGGCAGAAAATGAAAGTACAAAATCAGTAGGACTTGAGGTGAATATGGAGATGAAGACGACATTGTGTTAGGGTAAGTCCCAGGCTTCTGGCTTAGATGAATGCATCTGCCATAAGGACTCTAGAAGGAAGACAGTAGGGGTAAGGAAGAACCTCTGGGGCATTCAACAATTAGGGAGACATTGAAAGAGGAAGAGGCAGTGATGGAAGCTGCGAAGAGGGAGCGGGGGTGACAGTGAGAGACAGTGAGAGAGAGCAGAGAAGAGCATTATGCAGAGTTTCAAGAAGGCAGAGATCAGTACTATCTACAATTCAGGGAGACTTCGTAAGATAGACCAGGAAGTCTTCACTTGATTTGGCAAATGGAGAGGCTTGGGTGACTTCAGCGGGATCAGTTTCAGTGGAAGCCAGATTGCAGTGGGCTGAGAAGTGAGTAAGTGGCGAGGAAGTGGAGATGGTGAGAATAGATATCTCCTTTAAGAGAATGGCTGTGAAGGCAGGAGAGAGAGCATGATTGCTTGAGAAAATGCTGAAGTGGGAGGCCTGAGTTTATCAATATGCACAAGAGAGGGATCCAGAAGGACAGAAAATTGGAGAGAGAGGGAGAGAGAGAGAATGCGAGCATGCGAGCGTGTGTGTGTGTGTGTGTGTGTGTGTGTGTGTGTGCGCGCGCGCGCGCTAAAGGAGATCCCTGAAGATGTGGGATGGATCGCAGGACTCATATCCAGCCTGAATCTTATTGAGAAACCCTAAATATATAAGAATTTAATAGGAATATATTCAGCATACATGTGTACATGTATCCACATCTACACATATTTGGGATATTCTGGGGGGAAAAATTTCTTGAGAAAAGTTTGAAAATTACGATTTTTTTAGAGTACTGTAGGATTTTTGGTATCAAAGAAACTGTAAAATCTAAATGATGTTCTTTTAATTTTTAAATTTCCATATTTAGAACATACGAATTTCTGAATAGCAAAACACTTTTGTTTGAGGATACGTTAGTAATTCATTCTGGAGGTCTCAGAAAATGCATACATTTTTTGTCACCGGAGACTCCTTAAGAAACTCTTCCTTGTCTCACCTTTTAAAATCCCTTTATCCATGTTGGATGTAATTTTTCCATGAGTTCCCAAGCTGTAAGTTTTACATGGGTGTAAAAATGTACTTTACAGCATTCAACAGTGATTTTTCATTTGACAACTAGGATACACTTCTTAGATGAAATATTTTTTCTATTCCACAGCTGGATTCTGTTAGAGATGTTGGTGACCCTTTGAGACAAACCAGATGTGTAAAGTTATTAGCCTTAGGGATGACTTTAAACTGAGAAATGGCATTATATTTTCTAAATAATTACTGTTGGTTCTGTGTTTTATAAACATCATGGGTATGTAATAACTTATTACCTGTTGCTTGCTATCATCCTTTCTTCAGGGCTAATGTTGAGGGGCAAGCATGGGAAGATTTGGTTGACACATAGTTCTGAATGGGAGGTTAAAATCTTGTATTTGGCCGGGCACGGTGGCTCACGCCTGTAATCCCAGCACTTTGGGAGGCCGAGGCGGTTGGATCACGAGGTCAAGAGATCGAGACCATCCTGGTCAACATGGTGAAACCCCGTCTCTACTAAAAATACAAAAAGTTAGCTGGGCATGGTGGCGCGTGCCTGTAATCCCAGCTACTCAGGAGCCTGGGGCAGGAGAATTGCCTGAACCCAGGAGGCGGAGGTTGCAGTGAGCCAAGATCGTGCCATTGCACTCCAGCCTGGGTAACAAGAGCAAAACTCCATCTCAAAAAAAAAAATCCCATATTTGTTTTTGAATTTGTTTCTAATTTTCAATGTGGCATGGGGAAAATATATTAAATTCTATTACATATATTAAGTTCTCAATCTGCAGAAAGATGAGTGATATGGCATTCACAAGTGGTTGATAGAGAATGTAACACCTATTTATCAATTAAGAGGGATTTCAACCTAATATCATACAATGTCCCTGACCATTGGGCTTGTTAACGTATGAAACAGCCCTGGGGAGAGATTCATTTGGCAGAAGCCCCCTGGCCATAGCATTTATTCATGGTTATGAGAGTCAGGTTAGGTCTCCCAGACAAAGACAACCTTGGTTCCTATGGTATTGTAAAGGTTTTGACATTGATTGTAGGTCAAAGACATATCTCTGAATGTTATCTTCTCCCCACTTTAATTTTTCAAAAGAAACATGTCCCTGGTTTATTCAGCACTTTCTCACTCCACCCCTGGGAATTCCTCCTGAACATGTGTTATTACAATTTCCAGTCTGTATTCACCGATTTTAAGGTGGCAATAGTTGTTGACTTATCTTCTGCTGGGCCACTTTTCTTGTTACTGTCTCGGTTTTTATTTTTCCCCAAACATATAGAATATCTTTTCTCCAAACAGTACCCAAATGCTAGATTGTCAAAAGGAAGTTGACAAGAGTATGCTGTGCTACATACTGTGAAAGGAGCTAATCAAAGCAGCTTTTTAATTGCTATAGTAATGATTTAAATGTGCAAAAAAATACTCGTTACATTTGCATGACTGATTAATTAAGCAAAGTTCACAATTGACAAACATAATTAGCACATCCAAAATTGAAACCACATCCTGGTCCTTTTAACTTGGTGCCAAAAGAGACAATGTGAAGTGCTCAGCACCCCCTTCTTTACACTATCTGTAGGTCTGGTTGCCAATTCTCATATTTAGGTTTGTTATACATGGAGCATAGTTAATTGCAAAAACATTCCTGAAGATCTTACTTTTTTTAAACAGAGAATTCTCATGAGTTTTGGCATATTTGTTCAATCCTTTAGCAGCTAAATTTATCTTATAGAGTGAAACTCTCAAACAGGGAAAAGGAGATCTGTCTATGTATTTATCTATGTATCTGTCTATGTATCTATCTATATATGTATGTATGTATCTATCTATCTAATCTAATCTTTTATCTATTCATCTATCTTCCTATAAAGTGCTGTTAGATCAGCTTTAATGGTACATACATGTTTTATATGGGAAAGTGGTTTAATCTGGAGACATGGAAACCTATATAATGGTAGGTCAAGTTACCATGGAGCTTCACTAGTAGATATGCAAACAGCTTTCTGTGGCAAATCCTTGAGGTATCAAAGCAATTGAGAGTCTCCTGGAGTCCTTGCGGAGCTAAAGCTACACTGTGTCTGAGGAATTAGGGAAAAATCCTTCCTCCAATGCTCTCCTGCTCATGACAGCTCGTGACATGGTTTGTCACTTGGCTACCAAAGTAGAATTGCTGTGTTCAGAGTAACACGGGGGAAAAGTCATGACCTCAGTTGCCTAGATACTCTTTCTCCTTCCATAAAGCCAAGACCCCAGTTGGACCAAATCTGGGTCAGATATCATATTCTGATTTCCATGGCCAGTTTCATCCTTTGAATGTATCTGGAAAACCAAGTGTTGTTCTTAATTAATCACAACACAAGCGTGGCAAACTTCCCTTAATGCAAATTGACTCTTGAAGGTCCCATCCACTAGTGCAACATACTTCATGCATTAATGGACTCAGTGCTGATTAAGGGAGTGCTATGTTCCGGACACTCTTCTAGACACAAGTCATGTATCTAGAAACTAGACTAGACCTGTCACTCATGCAAAATATATTTATATTGAAAATATATATATATATATATATTTGTTCTATAATATTGATTTTTTTTTGTACTCTCCTTATTGGTATTAAGTTCACTAAAACTGCTACCTCTAATCATAAGGATTTATTGAGTACTTCCTAGTGCCAGGGGCTTTACATGCAGTCCCTCATTGACTATCCCAACCAAACTTACAAAGTAGATTTTATTCTTATCCTCATTTTATAGAGGAAGAATAAACTAAGACACAGGGGGGGTAGGTAATATGCCTAAGGGTGGCACTCCATTTTGGACAAAATGATTCCAAGAAAGCCTCCCAATTCAAAACTTCTAAAATGCTGAATAAAACATTTTTTAAAATCTTAAAATAAATTGTGAACCTGGAGAGAAAGTTGAGGAAAGCCTCAGATCCCCTTGTTGTTTTCATCCTTGACCTTCAATTTTAATAGACCTTTAATGGAGAGAAGGAGAAAAAGTTCAGGTCCCCAGCAAAGTGGGGGATTGGATTAAAGAGCTCCAGGATAAATGCAGGACCTTAAAAAATAACCCACACAGTGATTAGATTGGAAGAAATATCTACCCCTCCCATATTCTGAAGACAGGCAGAAAGGAAATTTGTTAGCCTTGGCTCCAGGTTAGTGGATTGGGTGATAAGTTAGGGAAAAGACCAGGGCTGGCATTACTACCTACTACAAATTTTAAAAGAACACTTTCAGAAGTAAGCATGTTCACTGTTAATTCAGTTCTAAATATTTTATAATTCCCATTATCATTTCCTCTTTAATTCTTGATTGTATAAAAATGCAATTTTTATTTCCAAACATGGGGTGTTTTCATTTTTGCCCTCTTTTCTTGTTGGTCCTAATTTAATTGCATTGTGATAAGCAGAGTATGCAAACTGTATGCTATTGATTTTTTGAATTTTGTTGAGACTTCCTTTGCTACATAGCAATTAATTTTTGTAATTATGCCACATGCATATGAAAAATGTATATCCTCTATTTTTGGGGTTGTAGTATTCTTTTGATGTATATGTCCAATAGATCATGTTTGTTAATTGTGTTTCTGATTCTTGGTCTAATTTATTTATCAGTGTCTGGGAAAGTTGTCTTAAAATCTCTCACTGTGAATGTGGATTTATCCAATTTTCCTTGTAATTCTATCAGTTTTTCATTTAGATATGCTTAAGCTGTATTAGCAGATGCATACAAGTTAATGATAGTTATATTTCTTATAGACTTTAAAAAATAGTTTTAAAATGAAGCTCTTTATCTCTGGTAATGCTTTTGGCCTTAAATTCCATTTAATCTGCTATTAGTATTGCTCACTAGAATTCTTTGGGCTAGTATTTGCCTGGTCTATATTTTTTCATCTTTTCATTTTCAATCTTTCCATATTTGTTTTAGGTGTTTCTCTTGAAAGTAGCCTGTTACTGGTGTTTGCTTTTTTATCCATTATTATAGGAACTTTCTGGATTAACTGAGTTTAATCTGTGTACATTGATTATGATTAATGACATAGTTTGGCTTATTCCTTCCATCTTATGTTATTTTCTATTTACTTATCTTTTTACCCACTTCCTTTATTTTGGATTTATACATTTTTATTATCCTTTTCCCTGCCTCTACCCAATGGTTTGAAATTTCTTTCTATTTTTTAAATTTCTTTACATTTTTAACATATACTGTAAGCTTTCTACTTTGCCTACAGTTTTTTAGTTTCTCTATTCTTCTTTGGAACAAAACAAGGAATTTACCAGGTACCAGGCTTAAGTTATCTGGAGTCCCTTCTTCAATCTGTCATTTTATTGTTATATAGAATGTAGTTTTACCTATTTTAGAAGGGACAAAATCAGTTATTGTGATTAACAACCAATACATAAAGAGATATACCAATACATTTTGTTAGTTTATTTGCTAATTATGCTCTTTATATCCCACTCCTTCCTTCTAGGTTTATTTTTCTTCTTGCTGAAGTATATCCTTTCATGACTTACTGCAGCCAAAAAAATGATGGTTTTGCTCCATATACAATTCTTGTTATTTACCTTATTACTTGAAAGCTATTTCCCCACTGTCTACTGGTGTCAATTTACCAATGAGAAGTAAGCTTCCAGTCAAATGACTGGCTCTTTGTAGGTAATCTGTCTTCCCTTCTGGTAGTATTTAGGATTTTCTCTTTATCCCTGCTGTTCTGAATTTTCCTATGATATTCTTGGATGTGGACTTATTTTTGTTTTTCTGCCTCAGCAATTGATATAAACATTCAGTCTGAGGGCTCATGGCTTTCTTTACTCCTCAGACTGGAAAATTTTTGGCCATTCTCGGCCATTATTTCTCCTGATGGTGCCTCTCTGCACCTTCCTCTATTCTCTACTTCTGGAATTACATGAGATATATGGTGGAGCTTCTCCTATTTGCTTATATTTTCTGACCTTCTATTTTTTAAAATAATAATTTTTTAATTTTGAAATATTCCCAAATTTATGTGTACAAGTTATGTACAACTTCCCTTTCCCAAACAATTTGAGAGTAAGTTGCGAATCTGATGCCCTGCTACCACAGAATACTTCAATGTATATTTCCAACACACACATTTCTCCTACATGATTGCAATACAACCATCAAAATAAAGACATTAACACTGATATATTACTACCACCTAATCCTCCTATCTTGTTACAGCTTCACTGATTGTCCCAGTGATGTCCATTATAGAAAATAGATCCAGTTCAGAAACGTGTTGTGTTTAGTTGTCAAATTTCTTTAATCTCCTTCAGTGTGAAAGATTTTTTTTTAACTTTAATGATCTTGATGTTTCTGAAGATTTGTAGACCAGTGATTTTGTAGAATGCTTTTCAGTTTGGGTTTGTCTGATGTTTCCTCATGATTGAGTTTAGGTGATGCCTTTTGGTAGGAGTATCACAGAATTGATCCTGTGTCGATCATGTCAAAATGTCTTACCAGTGGTGGTGTTAAATTTGATCACATGGCTAAGGTGGTGTCTGCAAAGTTTCTCTACTTAAAAATTACATTTTTTCCCTATGTAATTAATAAGTAACTTTGGGGGAGAGACTTTGACACTATGCAAATATCCTGTTTCTCATCATACTTTTTCCCAATAATTTTGATATCCATCTAGCCATTCTCCTTTCCTAATTTGCTTTTTATTTTATTTCTATTCTTAGAGACAATCTCTCACTCTGTCACCTTGGTTAGAGTGCAGTGCTGCAATCACAGCTCACTGCAGCCTCGAACCCTGGGCTCAAGTGATCCTCCTGCTTCAGTGTTCTAAGTAGCTGAGGCTACCAGTATGCACCACCATACCCAGTTACTTTTAAAATTTTTTGTATACAGGCAGATATAGTCAAGCTGTGTTGTCCAGTCTGATCTCAAACTCCTGGCCTCAGGAAATCCTCATGCCTTGGCCTCCCAAAGGAGAATGGCTGGTACAAACCCTGTGGTATTAAATTAGAATTGGATTTTAAGATAGGTATATAGAGAGATGGATACATATATCTGCATCTATATGCATCTGTTTGAATGCATACATATGTTTTCTTGTTCTGTCCAGGTGTGTGCCAACACACCTAGCTTCCTTTCCTCATTTGTAACTTCTTTCTTGGACAGTTGAAAGCCTGGGTCTTACGATCTACAAACTGTACATTACCATGAACCTTTACCATGGTTCTAAGAGTCAGAGCTGTACAAAAGGTGTATTTAGGCCTGGCATGGTGGCTCACGCCTGTAATCCTAACACTTTGGGAGGTCGAAGTGGGTGGATCACCTGAGGAGTTGAAGACCAGCCTGGCCAATAGCCAGGCATGGTGATGGGCTCCTGTATTCCCAGCTTTTGGGAGGCTGAGGCAGGAGAATCACGTGAACCCTGGAGGCAGAGGTTGCAGTAAGCCAATATGGCACCACTGTACTCCAGCCTTGGCAACAAGAGCAAAACTTTGTCTCAAAAAAAAAAAAAAAAAAAAAAAAAAGGAAAAACATTCCAGGCTCATGGTTAGGAAGAAGCAATATCATGAAAATGGCCATACTGCCCAAAGTAATTTATAGATTCAATGCTATCCCCATCAAGCTACCATTGACTTTCTTCACAGAATTGGAAAGAACCACCCTAAACTCCATATGGAACCAAAAGAGAGCCCACATAGCCAAGAAAATCCTAAGCAAAAAACAAAACAAAACAAAAACCAAAAAAACAAGCTGGAGGCATCATGCTACCTGACTTCAAACTATGCTACAAGGCTACAGTAATCAAAACGGCATGGTACTGGTACAGAGATATAGACCAGTGGAATAGAATGGAGGCCTCAGAATTAATGCCACACATCTACAACCATCTGATCTTTGACAAACCTGACAAAAACAAGAAATAGGGAAAGAATTCCCTATTTAATAAATGGTGTTGGGGAAACTGGCTAGCCACATGCAGAAAGCTGAAACTTCTAGGTTTTGAATAATGGTTAAAAGGCTTTCTTTAACCTGTAGATTAAATGGGAACTTAGACGCTTTATAGTATGTTTGACTGTTTGATAGGGCTCTTTCTCCCTCCCTACTCCACCCTCATAGTTTCTCGTTTTCACTATTTTTCTGGCTATTCTTAAAGGTTTGTTTTTCCATATGAACTGTAATTTCAATTTTTCTAACTCCTTAGAAAGCCTCGTTGGGTATTTTTATTGGAACTGAGTTCAATTATAAATTAACTTAGGAAGAGCCAACATATATGTGACGGTGAATCATCCTATCCAAGAATAGGGAATATTTTTGCTAGTGTTCAAGTCTACCTTGTGTCTTTCAGGAATGTATGCTATTTTATTTTACTAAGTTTAATTTCTGTGTGAATTGTTGCTATATTTTATTATTCACTGACCTCTTATTATTGATGTCAACTTTCCAGATTATATCAATCCTTATTTCTATTTCTTAGTAATCTATGGTCCCATATACTATTTACATTCCTGTAGTTAATACAATTCTATTTTTACCCTCCTTGCTTTTCATGGTAGATTTTGTAAAAAGGCCACCTGGAAAAGAGTCTTAATCAGGACACTGGCCTTTATTGGGGAATCCTGGGCAGGAGTTATAAATTCCCTGGCAGGGCCGGGATGAAGTTACAGTAGTCTTAAGTGAAAGGCCTGGTCAGTTTACACAGGAATGAGGCCTTGCTAAGAGCACAGATCAGGCTTTTTTACAGACTAGCTCATAACAAGATTCAGTTGGTGGCAACTTGAGATTTAAGTAAGTGGGGGAATAAGACTAGATAAATAGGCCAGAGCTAGGGTGGTGAAATAATGTAGTAGAATGAGCATGGACTTTGGAGTCAGACAGTCTGGGTTTGAATCCACCTCTGCTATTTCCTGGCAAGGTTATCCTCAATTTCTAATGTCTGATAGATATTAATAGTACCTAACTCAGGGTTGCTGTGATGATTAGAGATGGT